TTTAAACCACATCATCTTGATTTGCATCAGTCCCTGGTTTCTTGATGGTTTCAGGGGCAGAAGCCTTCTTGACTCTGGAGTAGTGGATCCAGGGTCCTTTCCCAGCAACTTTGACTGCAGTGAGGGTTGTCAGCAAAACCTGGRATGGTCCCTTCCACTTAGCYTGCAGAGGGTCGCTGTCCCACCACTTGATGTAGACCCAGTCTCCAGGCTGGAACAGATGAGCASGTGTGTCTAGTCCTATAGGCCTGGACARCACGACGAATCTTTGGAGCTTCTGCAAAGTGGAACTCAAAGCCATTAAATATTTCTGCAAATCAATTTTACCTCTCATATGAATTTCCCCTGGAATGTGTGGAATCTGGTATGGTCTGCCATATAGGATTTCATAGGGACTTATATTGTCCCTCCTCCTTGGTTGTATGTGAACTCTCAGCAAGGCTAGAGGCAAGGCCTGAATCCAAGTCATTGAAGTTTCTTGGCAGATCTTACTGATCTGGGTTTTGAGGGTTCCATTCATGCGCTCAACCTTGCCACTTGCTTGGGACCTGTATCGAGTATGCAGGTCCCAAGCAAGTCCCAGAAACCTGCTAACTTCTCCCACCACCGTTGCAATGAAATGTGGTCCTCTATCCGATGACATTCCCAGGGGAACCCCAAACCTTGAAATTATGTGGTTGAGCAAGGCTTTTACTACMTCTTTTGCTGTGTTGGTGCGACAGGGGTAAGCCTCAGGCCATCCACTGAAGGTGTCAACCAATACCAGTACATATTTGTATCCCTCCTTGCRAGGCATTTCAGCAAAATCTATTTGCCAGTAGTCTCCCGGGAGATCTCCTGCYTTYGTCACCCCTAACACAACTCTCTTGCTCGTGTCAGGATTGTTTCTACAACGGTCTCACACTTGCTTGTTATAGACTGTACAATATCAGTCATCCCCCTCCCAACCACTACCTTCTTCAGATGTTTTAAAAGATTTTCTGTTCCCCAGTGGGTACCCTCATGSTCCCTCTGGGCTATTTCTCGAAGAAGYGGGGSTGGGAGTACAAYCTGWCCTGTTGKGGTAACAGCCCACCCACCTTCCTTGATTTCAGCTTGAAGGGCCTTAATCAATTTTTGATCCCCCTGATCGTATTTTGGAGTAAACCCTGTCAAATGTGTGGTCCAACTTTCTGTGGTCCTACTGCAAGTACGCCATTTTCTGCAATCCCCCGTGCTGCTTGGTCAGCAAAGCRGTTTCCCAGTTCGGGAGCTGTATTTCCCTTTTGATGGCCTTTGYAGTGCATGACAGCCACTTCCGTAGGCTTCCAGATACTCTGCAGGAGTGCAAGGATCTGTTCTGCATGCTTAATTTCGTTACCTTCAGCAGTCAGTAGGCCACGTTCCTTCCAAATAGCTCCATGGGCATGAATAACACTGAAGGCATATTTTGAATCTGTCCATATCTTTACTTTGTTCCCTTCGCTCAGTTTTAGAGCTCTCGTCAGTGCAATCAGTTCAGCTTTCTGTGATGACACATCTGAAGGCAAAGCTTTTGCCTCAATTACCTTATCTGCGGTGGTTACTGCATAGCCTGTCATCCGTTTACCATGTTTCATGAAGCTGCTCCCATCTGGAAAAAAGTTCCCAATCTGGATTCTCCAGAGGCACGTCCTTCAGGTCTGGTCTGCTGGAATAGGTCTCCTCTATTGTCTGCAAACAGTCATGCTCAGGCTCATTATCAAGYAATGTGGATGACAAAAACATGGCAGGGTTAACAACAGATGTTGTTTTCAGGGTAACATCATCCTGTTCCAACAACACAGATTGGTAGTTAAGCATTCTGCTTGGGGATAGCCAGTGTCTCCCCTTTTGCTCCAGCACAGGGACCACTGTGTGGGGTACATACACAATGTGCTGCCCAAGGGTGAATTTACGGGCCTCCTGTATCAGGATGACAGTTGCTGCTACAGCCCTCAAACACCCAGGCCACCCTTGGCTATCATTGTCCAGCTGTTTTGAAAAATAGGCCACAGCTCTTCGCTGATCTCCAAGGTGCTGTGCCAGTACCCCCAGAGCAACACTGAGTCGCTCATATGTAAAGAGTTCAAAAGRTTTACTCAAATCTGGCAGCCCCAAAGCTGGGGCTGAAATCAAAGCATGTTTTAACTGTTTAAAGGCAGCCCTTGCATTTTCTGTCCATATAATGGTCCCTTTTTTGGCTGCTTTAAGGATCCCATACAGAGGTTTTACCAGCAGTCCATAGTTTGATATCCATAAGCGGCACCAACCTACCATTCCCAGGAAAGCTTGCATTTCTCTCACAGTGTGGGGTTCTGGAAGACGGCAGATGGCTTCTTTCCGCTCCTTGCTGAGTTGCCGATGTCCACGGAAAATTTCCAACCTCAAATACACCACTGTTTCCTTGGCAATCTGTGCCTTTTCTTTTGAGACTCGATAGCCACCCAAACCCAGAAAGTTCAAAAGAACTTACAGTGAGCTGGATGCAATCATCTTGCATTTTGGCTGCTATTAGGATGTCATCAACATATTGAAGAACTATTCCTCCTGATTCTTGTTTCTGCYGTTCCTCCAGTTCCTTGGCCACCTGATTTCCAAATATGGTTGGGCTGTTTTTAAATCCTTGAGGTAGGACAGTCCACATGAGCTGAGTCTTTCTCCCTGTATCAGGATTTTCCCATTCAAAGGCAAAAAGTTATTGACTATCTTTATGCACCGGGATAGAGAAAAAGGCGTCCTTGAGGTCCAAAACAGTGAACCATCCTAACTCATTTGTCAGTGTGGTCAAGAAGGTGTAGGGGTTTGCTAYGACTGAATGTATGTCCTCTGTGATATCCCCTTGACCGCCTGCACATTGCACGACTGAACTAACATCCATTGCATCTGCATTGCTCTTTTAAAATCTGTTTATATTGGGATTCAGAGGAGGTCCATGAGCGTCTCTGTTGTGATGAGAATTTGTTTTATACTTTCAAGTATTAAAACACAGGCCACAGGGAAATAGCTCCCTTTGGCATTTTCCACTCTCTCGCTTCACCTTGTCCCATCAGTGTTGTGGTAACATTTGATGATCTGATGGCACGAGTGCAATCAAAGCCAGCACTAAGGCACACAGCCATACTTCCTTTGGGTACAGGTGGCCTTGTCTGCTTTGCCACAACCTCTTCTCCCTGGCCCTGACCAATYCCCTGCACTCCAGCTGTTTCAGTAGCTACACAGGATAATTGCATTTTCTAAGAGATGCCTGACTTTTTTTGGTGCCTTTGCATAGTCCAGATACACTGACCTAGCTTCTAACTTCTCACAAACTGTGYGACAGGTTCCTTGACCAAAACTGCATCAAGATTAAGTGAAAGTCTGTCCATCTCTACCATTTACAATGTTATTCAGCTAGCTTGCTTTTTTCTCTTTAATTCTGTCCCTAATTATCTGGCTTTCTTCCTTCGAAATTTTCTCACCGTTCACTTTGAGCTGCTTTTGAACTCGCTTCCAAAACATTTTCATTCACGCTGTTGATGTGTTTGTATAGATTCTTTCAAATATGTGGATTAGTTTTGGTTTTCTTGGTTGTATTCATGGATCCAGATATGCTGTGGCTGAAATGGATGGAAATCATTGCTACCAATTTCAGACCAAATTGAACTGAGTGTTTTTCCCACCCCCAAAGTCACCCATATCTCTTTCCTACTCTATTTCTGGAAGAATAATAAGAGTATTTCTTCTACTCTTTAGTGATCATTTTACTCAGATATTTAGATGATAGAAATATGTCTGTGAAGAGCCTGAACTCACCTGCTTTTCCTCTTGCACTTTTCCATGCTGAAGCAGCTACACATGCATTTTACTGACAGTCCCTCGACATTCATTCCTCTTCTGTGTTTTCTTAGGGATCCTAAGCAAGCAYTGTTTTCTGTTGCATCCATCATACCAAGGACATCACATGCAGACAGGCACCACGGTCTTCGGTGAGGATCAGTCTTCAAAGACCAACAGCACAACCCTGCATCACTTCGGCTGCTGGACACCTCTGGAGGGCAAACACCTTCATTTCTGGAGGAATTAGCCTGTAGAGGGAAGTGGGAGCAGTTTRACAGCCTGACTCATGATCTTTGTATTATTATTACTGGTAGCGAAACTATTATAGGATCCAGGAGCCTGAACCTGGATCAGGAATGTGCTTTTGAAGAGAAACTCCTGGCCTTCCTGCTTTGGCTTGTGTTACAAGGCAGTTTTAAGGCAGGCACACACTGGTTTTTTTTCAATARCAGCTAAATTGGAAGGTGTGAAGTGTGGCCAATTCCTGGGCTAGAGGCACCCTAAATATTATCAGCTATAATATCTGTGGTGTGATGGTGGGTCCTCAGCTCCATGAATTGACTCTGTCCTGAACCTCCCTGCTTTCGAGCAGCAGCACAGCCAGATCCTGCACAGGATACACCGTCGGCAGCAGTGTTGGCTGGTTTAGTCTCTCTTCCTGAGGTTACTGAAAGGCTGCGGGTGTTGCAGGAKAGATGCAAAGCAGAGCCACTGCTTTAGGTGTTTTCTTTCTAGTTGTCAGTAGCATGGTGGCTGCTGCTGGTGGTTTTATTGTCTTTTAAATATAGCTACTTTTAAGAAGTTGAAGGATGAGGAACTCTAAATGAAGATGCTGATAAATAATGACAAAGGGGGAAATACCTGAAATATTTCCCACTAATACGGCATCTATTTTTTTTAAGGTGTGTTGTTTGCTAGAGGAACACAGGCTGTCWAAAGATCCAATAAGAACACATAACCTTACAAAAAACAGCAGGAAGCCAGTTTATAAGGTAATATACCTTGCTTAGTTTTCTTCCATCAAAAAGCASTTTATGCAGTGTAACAGTGGGATTAACAGAAATAGAGAGTAGAAAAGATGAAGTTCCCTGTTTTACAGACTGTACCTTGCCAAGGCAGCTTCAGAGACTGGAGAGACTTGTAGGTAGGAAGTTGAGTAGAATTTGCCTTCTTAAAGTTGAAAACCAAGGGACATGCTGCCTAGTGAAAATACTGAATAGCAGGGGATATCTTGGTTAGACTGACCTCTCCAGGCCTCTAAACTCTCCAGGCCATAATCCTCGTGAGGGCTACCCAGTCACCTTGGTCTGGGCACTTCTATCACTACTCTCATCCTSTATGTGCAATGTTTTAACTCTTCTCCACATATTTTAGTAGTATGAAGAAAATTCAAAGGTGAAAACAGTTTTTGAAATCATAGAACCTCCAGTATATTACTCTACTTTATTGATAATGTTGTTTCCATAATAAAAATATTTAGTACAGAATATGGTATCCTGCATGAGTTTCGCATAAATATTTCCATTATATCACTGATATGGATCAGAAAAATTTCAGTATGCACATGCTGCAAATGCAAGTGTAATTGATACAAGGTATGTATCGTAATGTACATCTTGAGTAAACATAAGAAAACCATAGCTTAATGAAAAACAGACTGTGTCTTACAACGTGCAATCATGCTTTTACATCTAAACTGGACCTCRGGTTTAGAAAACAAATCTTAAATCAGTCCTATTCACAGGACAAATCACAGTTCACATACTTGAAAAAAACTTTAGTTTTAGGAAAGCCTTTTGTGGAAAAGCTTGGGAAACTCCRTCCAGCTACAAGTGGTGGAGGGGTGGGAAAGGACAGATTGAGGTATCAGTTCAAACAATCTGAGGGAAAAGTTGAATAAACATTGAAGACAACAGAATAGAAACCAGACGCCAAATATTAATTCATGGGGTCTTCAAAGGGGATTTTGAGATTTATTTTAATTGTTGTTGAAAGAAAAAGATTAATTTTTGGATGAAAAATGTATGCAAATTCATCTCTGGTCAACACTAAAAAAAAGGTCATTTCCTACACAAAGCAGAAAAAGACAAARCAAAGAAAACCCATAATATCAACTTTTTAAATCCCCAAGGTGGCCTTTAACCTGGATTTGAAAAGAGTAGGGAAAAAAAGTGCTACGTGAGAATAATAAAGAATGTGGTGCCTCCCCCCTTAGTTTTACAATCAA